TGGGATTACCGAAGGAATGGAACTGAGAGGCTTGGGCAGCTTTCATCCTGAAATAGAGCTAATGAACAATGGCTTTACAAATTCACTTTCATCATACTTGTTTAATAATGAACACAGCTCCTCCCTGGGATCATTGTCACTCAGCAGCCCTCAAAACACCAGCCGGCACCAGGCAAGCAACCTGAAGAAGCGATGCCTCTCCATGCTGCCGTCTTCTGCCGATGGGATTGACATTACAACTATCATACGTACCTCACAGACGTCATTGGTCACCTGCGTGAATGGACTGCGGACTAATTCAGCTGGCATTTCCTCTTCTCCTGGGGAAATCACTCTCCACGGTGCTCAGAAATCATCTCGGCCCCAGTCTTGCTCCCAGCCTGGGACCCACTGCCATCACCCCTCTCCGTCAGTATGCCTTTTACCTGTTTCCAGTGACTGTGTTCGAGGGGACTGTGATCATTCCCAAATGCGGCAAGCAGAAGAAAATGCAAGCCTTTGCCTTATAATGAACAACACTAGTGTTCCTCAGCAAGAGGCTTCCCACAGCAACCAAAAGTTGAGTTTTTTAAAACAAGAACCACTTGACGAATATTCGTCTGCAACCGATCTTTTTCAGCATCACCAAGAGCTGCCGCCACCTTATCATTTACACCAACCGCGAAGCCAGGCTCAAGGGACGCTGTCTCATTTACATGCTTCCATGTCTCCAAAGTCTCTTCAAATGAGTGAGGGTGATGAGCAAGAGACCAGCAATGGCAAGCAGGCCTGTCGGTGGATTGACTGTAGTGCTGCTTATGATCAACAAGATGAGCTGGTTCGGCACATAGAAAAGACACACATTGATCAGCGGAAAGGAGAAGACTTCACTTGCTTCTGGGCAGGCTGTGTCCGTCGATATAAGCCTTTCAATGCTCGTTACAAACTGCTGATTCACATGAGGGTTCATTCCGGCGAAAAACCAAACAAGTGTATGGTAAGTCTGGAATATATTTATTTGACTAGAAATATAAAGAGGTCTCTGCATTCATTCTTCTTTTTAAAATATTCTTCCAATATAATCATAGTCCTTTTCTGTAACCTGTTCTATGATATTTCCAAGCAGAATTCAACTAGAAGTGCATACTGAATTCTTTGCACTCTTTCTGCTTTCTCAGTAGCCTTCCAACATAATTATAGTGCTTTCCTGCAACTGTTTCTGTGATGGTTCCAAGAAAACATTGGGGTGGAAATAACTTTATATCAGAGGAAATGTCTGAGTTATAAGTATTGTAATGATAACAAATAATATTTTGGTGGCCTCTGAAAGCTTAGCTTTTAATATAGAGATTTATTTTTGAAATGGTTATTGAAATCTTCATACGATCAAAGCAACCTGCAGCAATGTAATGTAAAGAAAGAATGACTGAGCCTCCGGTGGTATTTTAAATCAAGAAACAAGAAGCAAGTTCATTGAAATTCATTTCCTTCTGCCTTATAAACAAGCTTCCAAATGAGTACAGTCATTTGAATTATAACACAATAGGCAGAAAATTCCAATAAACATAATTAGTAATTAAAACTGAGTATGTCGTATGACTTTTAAGTTAAGTGTTTTCTTTTAACTTAATAAGAATTTTTGAAGAATATCAATAAAACTGTTCTGCTCTGATCAGGCAGCTATAGAAGAAGTTCCAAAGAGAACATCTTGGGAACAGCACTGTCTATGCTGGCATTATCAAGATAATGTGGGCAATTAAAATAAAAGCTAATGACTTGCAGTTGGCTTTCCACATGTTGAAAGCAATAATAATATGAGATCCTGAATAGAATAGATGATAACAGGGCAAGATTGGTCAGAGCTTCCAAACCCAGCTGTGAAATATGAAACTTTCGTTTGAAACCTCAAATGTATTGCTTACAAAGGAATAACCACACCAACAGATTGGGTTCCCTCCATCAAAATGTCAGCAACCAGGAGCACTTGGGACATTTGTTATTTCTTCATTCGAACACAGTACAGTACTGGTGCTCTGAAATAAGGAACCCCCACTATGTATTATGGCTGTGATGTTTGGGAATGAGAAGCATTCTCTTCAAACTAAGCCATCCCTTCAGATTGAAAAGACATCTGGTAACCTTACAGAAAATGAGGACGCTTTAATGGAACTATTTTCTCCCAAATGCAGCTCTTACTGAGAACAAAAACTTAGCACAAGAATAAACTTTTATCCCTATACATTTTTGACTGGATTTGATCTTTAATATATATGTCGGTTAATAAAAGATTATATATTTTTTAAAACGTAGTGTGCGGAAGAATGTACTTTCAGATAAATATCACTGTATTCCTATTACTGTGGCAGTGCAGGCTTAATTTCTCTGTTCCTGGAGTATCCAGGGGTTGTTAGAAGGAAATAAAATAACATAGTGAAACAGTGGATATTCTGCACCTGGTTTCTCATATATAGGACAGACTTTATTTTCTCGTGTCACTGTATATCCATTCTTTATTTTCTGTAATTCAGATGCTCCCTGTCAGATGATGAATTGTCTGTTCAGAAATATGAGAGTAGGGATTCTTCTCTGAGTATGGATACTACTACTTCCCGTTCCAAACTATTTTATGTATTACCTACATGGCAGAAAATAATTTTGTTTGCAGATTTTTCTTGACCAAAACTAGCAAATTAAAGTAACAATTAAAAAATGAGTTCACATACAACGTTCCTGAAAAGCATATTGTTATTTAGATTTCAATGTACTGAAGTTCCAGAATATCCATGCAGCTTAAACAAGGTCCTCATCAGGTAACATCTCTAGTGGCGCAGATGATTTACACAGGGGAAGAACCTTCGAAATCACCAGTGGGGTAGCTGTGCCTTATGCATTCTTAGAAGTTAGAAACTGTGAATGTGCCTGCATTACATAGTCGAGGTAACTTTCTAATTTTGCAGGTTGCTTGCAAAGTGATGAAAACAGTCTATTTTCTTGGTTTCTCTGGGGGGGTTTTAGAGACCAGAGATGCATGATTAGATTTGTGTTGGTTTTCCCCCCAGTGATAAAACAGATGGTTTAGAAATTTGGATTTACTTAACACTGAGAAAACCCTCTCTGTATTGTCTTTGTTTGACAGCTATCATTTAGCGGTTCTTTAATACTTACCTTTCTACAACCAGTTCTTGTAATTTAGTTTAAGGAATGCATTGAATGTTGTCATATTTTAATCTGTATCGAACAAAAGTAATTTCAGAAGGGTTTTGACAATTGGACTGTAGAAAAACTTCATATGTAGTATGCTGTGTAAATACTATGGTACTTAAGCAAATTTTCTTGTCGGTGATGTAGGCAAAAGGCTCAACACACATGACAGTGTAGTGTTTAGAATGTGCTCAATTGTGTCCCAGTCAGAACTTGGCAGTTCAGAAGTTACAGAACCAACAGTTGGCATCTAGCTTTTGAGTGACTGTGGAAGAGTTATGGGTGAGGCTATTAATAGCTGTTTTCCTTAAGAAAAGGAAAGGGGACAGCTATCCTTGTTTGAAATAAATAATGAATTGTTGTGATTGGGAGTTCAGCACAACAGCAGATTCTGAGTTGGATGAGACTATTAAAATTCATATTTTTGCAACACGTTTAAGATGCAGAAAGTTATGGGCATATGTCTTTAAAATTTATATCAGCCAGGTCCATTTATTTATAGACTAAAATGTTAAATTTGTTTGCATTTTGATGCAATATTGTTTCAAAAGTTCTTAAAAATAGATTCATGACCATGAATTCATCGAGGGAATTATCAGGTGGTGGCAGATGTTTTTAAAACCTGTAGCATAACAGTGAGTGATCATGGGTATTTTCTTTCCCCCAAAAGCTATTTCTTTCTCTTTTGTTACTTCCAGTGCTCTTCCAAAATACATTTGTACTTTCTTTGAATCTGGGTGTCTTTCCCATCTGTTCAGCAAAATTTGTTGGCTAAATATGTATTGAATGTGTTCATGGAAGGCTGGCAACAAGTAGCTTCATGTCTATATGCATAAAAGCTCCCATCCATGTAAAATTATTAATTTCTTATGACAGGCTTTGCTACTATGTACTGTAATAGACAAAGGAATTTTGGAATTCAGGCTACTTGAGAACAGGAAATACATGAGACATTTTGATTGAAAAGTAAATGGTCCACTAAAATGGCAGTTAATCCTTTTATTATCTTTCCAACAGCAGTTTCCACAATACTTTCATGAGGTAAGCTTCCCTCCAGTCCAACTGTAACACTCATCATTACAGCTGGTTTAAATTTAGCCTGTGTGCTCCATTCTCTACAGCAGACAGTGGAAAAGCAAAAAATCTATCTGCTGTAAAGGAATTACTGATATTTGAGGGGATTCAGCTTCTGTTTGGGTGCCAAAAAGCTGTTTTTGTTTTTTATTAATTTAATAATTGATTCATTATCTATGCTGTGTCCTTTTCATTTGTGTGGGGTTTTTTGTTATGTTTTGCTTTTTGCCTTTTTATTCCTTCGCCTGCGCAAGTAGTCTGAAGGAAACTACCTAATCTCTCTGCAATATCCTGTTATGTTTCATACTCAACTTGTGTTATTTTAGTTTTATTAAATTTGGTGCTCATCTGCATTTTGATCAAAATATATCCAACTAAAATAATGATGCAATGCCCCTAAGACTTGAACTTATGAAGATTAATTTCATGCTTTTTTAGATTTGATGTCCCAGACAACTGGAATTTTGATTGTCTGACAGTAAAACTTAGCCAGATTAAATGTTTTCATTATAAAATGCAAAAAGAGGATTTTCCATGTTATCTTTTTGTTCTGCCATCATTTTGAGTAATAATGAATCATGATCCCTAAACATTGTATGATAAAGTTTAAGTGTCTGTTTACATTTGGAAAGGTATATGTGTGTGAACACGTGTGTGAATTGATCCATTACCTAGCATGAGACACAGTGTGTGAAATATTGGGTAATCTGTCTCTTCTCCACTTAAATAAAGTGATGGTAATACCAAATTTAAGAGTGCCTCTGCTTATAATATTCACAGAATTCGGCTTCTAAACTGGAGAAGCAGAATGATAAGAGAAAGAAAAGACACCTTTTGATTAACAGATGTAAGTTTTATTAATTTAAATGTGGATATCTCTATAAATGATCACAAGTAATAGGTGGCCAATTTGTGATGCCTGAATATTTTAGTTTCCTTTATCTCTTTGTAAAAATAAACATCTCAATTGCTTTCTTCATTGGGAACCTAGCTGGGTGGAAGCTGCTTTAATGGGAGTGGCTGTGTTTAAGTTTAAATGACATAACCATGTTCAAGGGGGCTAAATGCATGGGCTGTAACCATAGAATTGGCACTCCCTCATCTAATAGGATGACAGTTCCATGTTTGGGAATTTAGTAATCTGCCAGCGCTCACATGGGGTGATTTAAACATTCTTACTATGGGAAGATGACTCCTATCTGGCTGGAATCATGATCAAAAGATTCCATTATCTCCCTTCAGTTAGCTGCATTCTATTCTTGTTTTGACTGCAATAATAAATTTTATTTATTTTGTGTTAAGGGAAAGACAGTCAAATTGTAAGCCTACACACTAGTAAGTGTTATCTTCATGCTTCAGAAATGAAAAAATGAGGTACAAAGAGGTAAATCAATCTAACTAAGGGCCACCTAATATACTGATTGAGGAGATGTTCAGTAGGGTTTCCAGGTCTGGTCTGACAAACAGCAGAAGGCGAGGTGGAGCAGGGACATGTGGTGTAGTCATTAGCAACAGCATGATGTCACTTCTGGGAAAACCCTACACTGGAATCTCTATGGTAAAACTGATGTCACACACAGGTATGGTGTTTTATTTCTGTGACGTAATGTTGGGTTAAAATTTAGGCTTCTAGAGTAAAAAAGTGGGGGACTGGATGGGTGATTGAAGTGTGTTATGATTGGATGGTAGCTGTGCCCTATGGGACAGAATTGATCGGTTTGC